GATGCAGTGAAAACTGGTTACATTTTGAACATAAGAGCCAACAGAATTTGCTGATGAATTGTTGTGAGAAGAAAAAGGGAATCAGAGATAATGGCATTATATTGTAACAATTTTTTTTTAAATTGGTGTTCACCTACCTTACACTCTCTGGGTGGAAGGCAGACTCTCCGGGGTTGCCCAGGAAGCCTAAAGCCAAAACCTCAATTAAACGACTGTAGGACTCTGGCTGGATATTCATATTCTTTCTGGAAGAGGGTATCTTCGTCACATGCACCAAACACAATGACCAGTACACAAATATAACTGGTAACTCAAGGAAACTAGACTTTTGTGGGGGAGAACCAGCACAAAAATAGAAAATAGAAACAGACTGGCAGAGACTTCAGATACTTTAACTATCATACAGTGACTGTAAAACAATTATGCTTACTGGGTTTAAATCTATATTGAGGATGCCTGCAAAGAATAAGAAACTACAAAGTGATACAAATGGAAAAAGAACTAAATTGAACTCTTAGAAACAAAAAACAAAGTAATCAAAATTCCAAAATCATTGCATAGATTTAATAGATCAGTCACAGATAAAAAGAAAATGAAATACTGACACCTTATGAGGTTTGATATACTCTAACATTTTTCTATTCAAAATTTATTCTAATTTTGAAATTCTCGAATGGTTGAGACCCATAAACTGATTTAAAGCCCTCATGCTTAAATTCGAACTGATTGTTCATTCAATGTAACAGTGTCAGGGAAATATAAATTCTTTTTTTAAAAAAAGCTTTTATTAGGAAACAAAGCTGAGGATTGAAATATGGACCTCTAACAAATCCCTTAGGTGCTGGTGTTGCTAGAATAAACTAGATGCAGCTGACTTCATTAATGCCTCCCTGCGGGATTTCAATCTTGGGCAGAAAGAAGAAACATTATGAAGAGACAAGTTTGGGTTTTATTCTGGAATAGGTAGCCTGGGAAATCTATCACATTTGCCATTGGAAAAGTTTTAAACTAATGAACTGCCACTTATGAAGTAAACTTAATCAAGGTTACTAGTATAGAATTGCTAGTTTAAGACTTGATATATTTGGAAGGACACATTAGTTCCCCTGTCACTGGTTTTTACCAGTCTGCAATCAGACAAGGAAAATGTCTATAATTTTCCATAAAGCTGACTTATTTATTTAAAAGAACCAAACTCTTAGAGGATATGTCCTTTATTTTTGAGGGTCAAAATAATAATTTTCAAATGAAATGATGCTGACAGTAAATGGCAATTGTTTTTTGCTTTTGTTTTACAACTTGGTGAAATTTAAAAACTGCAGTTCTGTTGGTTTCCAAAATTATTTTGAAAATCTGATCTATAAAGTTCAAAAACTAGGAACACCACTGATATCATCTATCTCTTATTTGATCATCCAACAAATGTTCTGAGGGCCTACTATGTGCTAAGAGATGGGCACAAATACAAAAATGACTGTACTGTGTGCCCTCCACTCACAGAAAGGGACACATGACGAAAATGAAGACAAGGGAAAATGTTTTGTTCAGGGAATTTTAAGTAGTTCTAGATGACTGGAGTTGGGGTACGTGGTAAAGGTAACATCTTAAACATTTTTAAGTGTACAGTTTAGTAATGTCAGGTATTTTCACATTGTTGTGAAGTAAGGACTTTGAATTTATCCTTATTATAAGCAACTGAGATTAACAGAAAGGTTATTGAAAGATTTGAGGATAGGATTGGAGATGTAGGAAGATTCTTTTAGAAGGTGTTTGTACTAGGAGGTAGGGGATGAAGGCTAAGACTGGAAGGGATTGTACGATTTAAAGGCTTGTTGGGTGCCGTGAGTGGGAGTTTCTGGCTTGGTCACAGGGTTTTTTTGCCAGAGGGCAAGTTAGAGAAAGGAACTGCAACATACCACTGGCTGAGTACCAAGCTTCTACGGGCCAGCTTCCAGAGGCTGCACAGTTGAAGCTAGCGGGCCACATCTAGCCAGGATGTATTTTGTTAAACCGCTACAATAAAAAAAAAAAAAAAAAAATTGGAGGCTATTAGTTGCAAAAATTGAAAAAATGGAGATTTCACATACAAAAAATTTCCAGTTTTTGAAAAAATCGAAATGTCTGGAAACACTGAAATCAGTTCCTGAGGGAAACAATCAGCAGAGTTTACTTTTTTCATTTTAAGCTATGTATCAATGTATTGGAAAAACAGGAAAGTATACAAATGAGTGTACGGCTTGACGGATGTTCACAAAACGAATATACCCCCACTAACCAACACCGTTATCAACAAGAATATTATTAGTATCTCTGAAGTTACATTTATTTAATCCTACTAACAATCTTATGAGGTAGATTATATTGTTATCTCCATTTTAAATACAAGAAAACTGAGCAGAGATAGGTCACAAGGCTAAATACGATTGAAAGTAGCATTTGAACCTGGATTCCAAACCCCATGCTTTCGAGAAGAAACAAGCTTAGAAGTGAGATGGCGAGCTCAGCTTGGAACGATGTGGAGTGGGCGTCTCCTTTCAACGAAACTTACTTCCGGGCGTCATAGCCACGGAAACCACCGGTAGTCCGAAGACTGCACCTCAGGCCGTCAGCACTCGCGCTTGCGGAGCGGAGCCTCGGTGGGGCAGTCTCCTCACACTTGAGGGCGGGGTCGCAGCTACAGTCGGGGGAGTGACTCTGTTGTCGCAATCTTCTTGAGGTCGGAAATACGTATACGGTCAAAGGTCACGTAAATGGCGCTTCCCCGCCCCTTACGCCTAAGTTCTCGCGCGAGTTGTACTTCCGCCCTTTTGGCTCTCTGAGCGGCACCATGGCGGTCGGCAAGAACAAGCGCCTTACGAAAGGCGGCAAAAAAGGAGCTAAGAAGAAAGTGTAAGTGGCGACTGTCGTGGCTCCTTGCCTTTTCAGGGTGCTGCTGGAGTCGGCGGGCGGGTTCTGGATCGCGGCTCAGGCCGGATGGCGAAGATGCCAGTCGGATTGCGCTGGACGTGCTGAGTTGGTAAACTCCGAACCTCGGCCAGGCAGATAGGAGTGCTGCGTTGCGGGGGGCCAGCAGACTTACCCTTGTGCTCCCTGAGCCTTGTGCGCGACCCTCTTCAGATGAATTGCCGTCGCGACTGGGGGCCAGCATGTACCGTGTTCTGGGCTCATGGGCTTCAAGTTCCGTGGGTTATTAGTGCTAAGGGCTGGAGTGGAGAAAGACACTCTTTTTCACCCAGGACCCTGCACCGCTCCACTGCTTGGGCACGGTGGAACCTGGGAGCTTCAAGTAAGCTCATGAGGTCCTCTGAAAAGCTTAGGTAACCAGTACCTGTCCTCATGTACCAGTGAAGTTCGAGAGACGTGCATGCTACTTGGAGACAGTGTAGACGATGGCCCATTGGGGATGGGGGGAGTGTGTACATTTATGGCTTAACTACTTTTTGAAGTTTCTGGTCTGTACAGTGAAACAGCGAGAACCGAATTTATATATGCGCCGATACTTCACTGAGGAATAGTTTTAATGCAGTGTCTGTATGCGATTAGCCCTTTAAAATCCTTAGAATGAGGAAAGTAAAAAAGAATTATTTCCTGTAAAAATTAAGTATATTTTTTAAAATCTAGGGTTGACCCATTTTCTAAGAAAGATTGGTATGATGTGAAAGCACCAGCTATGTTCAATATACGAAATATTGGAAAAACACTAGTCACAAGAACTCAAGGAACCAGTGAGTATCCTATTCTTAATTTGTATTTTTCTTAAAATGTATATGTATCTTGATCTACTGATGGCCCTGTGGTGGGAGACTAGGGAAATATCAGCTCTTGGGTGCAGCTTTGGCCCCTTGGAGCTTGTTTTTGGTAGGACAGTTGTAGAAGCAAGATGGTACTTGTAGAATTAACTAAGAAAATGCATGGGTAGTTTTGAGCTTCTAATGGGCACTGTCAATAAGACATTTGTGTCCACATGGATTTGGTTTGTGACCACATGGATTTGGTTACAAAAGTGAAGGTCTTTTTTATAATTTACCATTGACTTGAGTAAGCTCAACTGTGTGAACATTTTGTTGGCTTAATTTTGCTTATGTGGTTCCTAATGTTAATAAGACAATTAATTCTTTTATAGAAATCGCATCTGATGGTCTCAAGGGTCGTGTTTTTGAAGTGAGCCTAGCTGATCTGCAGAATGATGAAGTTGCATTTAGAAAATTCAAGCTAATTACTGAGGATGTTCAGGGCAAAAACTGCCTGACTAATTTTCATGGCATGGATCTTACCCGTGACAAAATGTGCTCAATGGTCAAAAAATGGCAGGTGAGAACAAAATCCTTGAGTGCATGGTGCTTGTGTCATGCTTGACCAAGGTATAATGATGTCATGGTGTAATGACAGCAAGGAGCATATCATGCAGTTAATGTTTGGATTTGATTTTAAATCTTTGATTTATTTTTATTTATTTATTTGCTATTATCAAGGGCTAATTCTGGGATTGGCACTCTGAACTTGAGCAAGAGCAGTGAGCAGGTCACGATCCTATTTAAATTGTTCAAGATTTAATATTGGGTTATCAGCTTTTTATATTAGTAGCTGATTGAAGAATGTTTGGATTTAGGTGTGCAGTTTTGTCTGCAAAATATTTGGACCTCAATCTGGTGAATTTTAAAGTATAAGGGTAGTTTGGGCTAGTCTTGATTACCTCTTACCTCTGGCAATAGAGCATAATAGGAGTAGCAGAGCTGGTATGAAGTTGAAATCTTGGCTCCATTTCCCAGTTGTGTTCTCTTTGGCAAGTATCTTAAAGCTTGCTAAGCCCTCTTTTCTCTATCTAAAATGTAGGTAAGAGTATCATCTCATTGAGTTATGAAGTTAAAATAAAAAGTTTATATAAACATGTTCAGCACAGAGTTGACACAGAAAGCATTTAGTAAACATTGTTACAGGAAATAAATGCATTGGTTCAGATGGCTGGCTAACCATTAGCTTTGAAATATTTGCTATATGGGAATGAATGATGACAAAATGTTTTGGTCTCATGATAATATATTGATTATATCATTATATTTATTTCTGATATTCCCATAAGGTTTTTTATGGTTGCATTTCTGGGAATATATATTAAGGCTCTTTGGCCATAATTGTATTCATTTTTTAACTAAGGTATAAAATTTGTAAAATGCAAAAGAGGCAGTTCAGCTTTTCTAAGATTTTTTTTTTAATTTAGGCATTAATATGACTAATGGGTCTTTAATTATATTTTAGCTGTGAAATTGAATATTTAATCTTCAGCACAGCTTTAGTTTGGAACATTAAACCTTTAAAAGTATGTGCATTTAGTGTTATGTTTCACCTATTCAGAGCACATTTTTTTTTTTTTTTTTTAGTTGTAATAAGTATAGATGTCCATATTGTAGAATCTCAAACTATTTTCCTCTTGTTTTGCAGAGTTGTACAGTTGACTGGGGGAAAAGGGCAGGATGTTAAAGGCCGGCATGTATATGTAAAAGGTGCTGTTGCCATAGTGATAAGAGGATGAGGGAGGACTTATTTAGTTGGATATGAAAGATATCCAGTAACAGTTTGGGGTAACTTATTGGTAAGTTCACTTCAAGGAAGTTAATACTGTAAATTTAGCATGTAACTTATATTATACTCTCTTGTGTAGTGATACTTGACCATCTAGTTTTTTTATATCAGAATTTGGGAGATAAAAATAATAGCATTAAGACCTGGAATATCTGACAGTGTCCCTTTTTCACCAGACCATGATTGAAGCTCATGTTGATGTCAAGACTACCGATGGTTATTTGCTTCGTCTGTTCTGTGTTGGTTTTACTAAAAAACGCAACAATCAGATTCGGAAGACTTCTTATGCTCAGCATCAACAGGTCCGCCAAATCCGGAAGAAGATGATGGAAATCATGACCCGAGAGGTGCAGACAAATGACTTGAAAGAAGTGGTCAATAAATTGTAAGTGTTTCTTTTCCTTCACATAACTCAACCTCAGATCTCTTGATTGTCCCTCAAATTAGGGAAAGCATACAAGACAAGGTGGAGTCAGACTTACATTTAAATCCTGTCTTTGAAACAATCTAGCTACATCCCTTGAAATGAAAGTGTGCCCTCAGTAAATGTGATTTGGTTTCTTTATTCTGTTTTGGAGGAAGCTTTCATGGCAGTTAGACTTGAAACACAGGAAATGAAATACTTTTGCCTCAATTAGAAAATTCACTGAATAGACAAAACCCTCCACAATCAATAATGTGTGGGAATAAGTGATGACAAAATGTTTCGGTCCCACATGATGTCCAGTGATAAAACTGTTAACATTTTTCTGATGTTCCCATGCATTTGGTTAAGAGGGTGTAATGGAAAAGGCATATAAAGGTTGGACTCAGAAGGTCCAAATGATAACTTTGCTACTAAATTGCTATGTAGTTCAGATCATTTTACCTTCACCTGTAAAGAGGTTATAGTAAACTCTCATGCGAGGATTTATGTGGCTTAAATGAGGGAGTTTTACATGTGTAAATTTATTTTAATCTATCATTACTGGTTTGCAGGATTCCAGATAGCATTGGAAAAGACATAGAAAAGGCTTGCCAATCAATTTATCCTCTACATGATGTCTTTGTTAGAAAAGTCAAAATGCTGAAGAAGCCCAAGTTTGAGTGTAAGTGAAAAATCACAGGATTCCTGAAAGAAAAAATTATGTGGCCAAATACATGGTTTGGAGTGTGTTTAGGATTTGGGGGCGGGGAGGAGAGATAATGGATTTTTTTTTTTTTCTGTCATGCCTACATAGTATTGAAGAGTACTGTTTCAAGATGTAGTATGCCATAACAATATTTTCTTCTTTTTAGTGGGAAAACTCATGGAGCTCCATGGTGAAGGTAGCAGTTCTGGAAAAGCTACTGGGGACGAGACAGGTGCTAAAGTTGAACGAGCTGATGGATACGAGCCCCCAGTCCAAGAATCTGTTTAAAATTCAGACTTTTCACAGTGACAAATAAAAGCTATTTGTGATGTTTTATTTCCGATCATTCTTTTTAAAATAATATGACAGCTTGGTGAGTCAGATGTTCTGAATTGATAGTAATATAAATTTTAATGATTTCTATAGATTTTATCTATTGCTCTAAGTAGCTGAGATAGGGTAGTGATTGAGATGTAGTGGTCTGGAGGTGTTATACATGGCTAATAAATGGAAACAGATGGTTCTTAGACCATCTGGAAGGCTTGTTAAAACATTGCAGGGCCCTAGCTCCAGAATTTCTCTTCAGTACTAGGGCAAGACCTGAAATTTTGCATTTTAAACATTTTCAGGAGGTCTGATGACCAGGGTTCACACTTTGAGAAAAACACTATGGTAGACTGATGGAATAATGGAAAGAGCCAGTTGGCTCTTTTGTTTGTTTTTAAATCTAAATGGTATTTCTTCCTGTAGCTGTAAAATGCCCGCTGTGCATTTGTACTGTGAAGCTGAACTTTTTCCACTCACTTAGTCTGTTCTATACCTTTTCTCTTCTCAAACCTCTGATATCACTCATCTAATGACCTTGCTTATAATCATTAAGAAAGTTTAAAGTAGAAAAGATCCTCACGAATTCCCATTACTTACACCCTGCCATCTGTGTATATGCTCACGTTTCCTGCCTGCCTCGTCACTGGATGAGTTGTGCTAAGGACAGCATTCCCATTTGAGTGTTGGGTCTTCCCTCCTGCCTAATCAGGCTCATGGCTCCAGCAGTTACCTTTATCAATATTCCTTTTATGCCAAAACCCTACAGCAAAGCCAAAGAATTAACAATACTTTTTGTATCTAATTTTACTTAAATGCTGCAATTGGGCTACCACCACTACCACTCTAAGGAATCTGTTGTCAAGGTTACCAGTGGTGGTGTTAAGTCTAATGGTCCACTCTTGGCCTCCATTTTACATGACATCTTAGTGACGTTTGAAAGCGATTTCTTCCTGTTTTTCTTAACTGTCCTCAAATGTCACTTCAAAGTTTTCCTCCCACATCATTGGCTACTCCTTTGCTAGTTCATCCTCAGACCTTAGTGTTGGAGAGCCCTAGGGCTGTCCTTGGACATTTACCAGTATTCACCTAAAGTGACCTGTGCCTCTGAGTTACATTTTTGTATGTGAGAGGAAAGTAGGTCATGAGAGACATCTCCAATTCAAAGGGGTTGCTTTTTAGCCCATCTGTTTCCCTTCTAGTCATTGAAAAGTGACACCAAGGATTAACAGATCAGTTTAAACGCACAGGTTGTAATAGGCTTTAGACCATATCGGGACTGTGTTAGGTAAGACCGCCCCCACACCATTTCCCACTTAGCAGCTGAGGACGGGAACCTGGAGAAGAGAGTGAGGTCCTACCATAACTTGGCTTCATCTGCTGCTTTGAATCTTATGGATAATAGCCTTAAATGTATGAGATTCTTCTGTTACCTGATGAAGGAGCACAGTCATGTTAAAAAATTCTAGTTTGGCCAAGAGTGTGTCAGGCCAAGGAGTGAATTGTGAGAGGCAATGCTGTAGAACCTGAGTGTCCCTGCACACTTGGGTATGCTAACAATATAGTTCTCTTTATCTGGGCCATTTCTCAGGGTTGTGTCTGCATCCTCTTCAGAAACCTTGAGGGTTAATATGACTCCCTGGAAAAAGAGCAGTCTTGTTTCCACTTAACCGTAATGGCGTTAAGTCTTGGTGTTCCTCTTCTATGATACACCCCACTGCATGATGGGCCCTTTGCATGGGAAACTGACACAAAAGACACCCAAGAGTCTATGTCTTACCAGCATCCATGAAACTGGAAGGCTAACTTTTTAAGGTAAGTTGGGTAAAATGTCAAACATGGCATAGTTCCCGATACTTTCCAATTACTTTGAAACTAATTTCAGATGAAATCTCTAAAATGATTCCTTAAAAAGGTAACAACCACAATCCTATTAACATACTTTTAAATTTCTATAATTGCTTAACATTAAACATCCAGGCACCAACTTAATGGGTAATAATACTCTTGGGTAAAATGACACAGGCAGTGCAAATGTCAAAGCTAGGAAGGGTAGGGAGCTTCCATTTGCTAAGACCAGGATGTCAGGGTCTAGAAATTATTTCAGATGTCATTAGCTCTTAGAAGTCTGCAGGACAGACAGCTGTAATTGTGTCAAAATACAACACCGTAGTGGCTGAAACTGACATTACTAATAAAACCAAATGCTGTTGAGGATATGAAGTAGCTGGAACTCTAAAATGTCACTAGTGGAGTATAAAATGGTACAACCACTTTGGAAGACAGGTTTTGTAAAATTAAACATTTCTGTTTTATAACCTAAGTTTACTCCTAGGTGTTTATCCAAGAGAACTGAAACCCTATGTGCACAACAAGACTTGCTTAAGAATGATCATACCAGTCAATTTATAAAGCTGGGAAAAAAATGTTCATACCAGCTTTATTCCCAATAGCTAAAAACTGGATAAAACCCAATAGAATGGATAAACTGAGGGGAATGAACAGTTAAAACAACATGCATAAATCTCAAAAATATGTTACTCAAAGGAAGCCAGAAGAAAAAAGATACTATCTATTTTTATGAAGTTCCAGAACAGCCAAAATGAATCTATGGTGATAGAAATCAAAACAGTGGTTGCCTCTGCAGGGGACTGGGGAAGGAGGAGGTTATAACCAACTGGAGAGGTATGAGGAACTATAGGGTGATGAAAATATCCTATGTACTTGTTGGCAGTTACACAAATATATATAATTGTCAAAAACCAGAATTGTAGACTTAGTATCTGCATTTTATGCAAATCACACCCCATTTAAAAAAAAAAAAAAATGTGGGTCTAGCCAGCTAGATCACAGACTTGCATTTTTATGTCTGTCCAAATCTGGGGTTTGCCTTCCACACAGTGAACTCAGCCCTTCATGCCCATTCAAGTCTGGAACCAAACCTATGTACACTTTTTGTCATGGGCTTCTTGGTTGCCATGTATTCAGGCCCTTGGCTCTTTGTATGGTTCTGCATGGTGGTCTGGGCATCACCTCCAGAAATCACATGGCCAGATCTGATCATGGTATCTGGCATTTCAGTGGTCAGGGCAAGTATTAACATTCACCTATGGCCTGAAGGTAGCGATCCTTATTGCCAAATCCTAAAGAAAATGATACTCTCTGCAGCTGGGGACCAGCTTAAGTGATTTGTCTGCTGCCTTTGTGGGGGACATCAGTAAGGTCTGCTCAGCAGCCCTACTGGTGAATGTGATCCCGATTCTCATCTTCACTGAGGTACTCAGTGTCTATAGCCTCATCACTACCCTTATTCTTCGTATAAAGTAGTCCTTCCTTGAGTCTATCCAACAGAATACAGAGGCCAT